TTTCTGCAATAGGAGTTTGATTAATTTTCTTTGACTCTGATATTTATTCTCCATTCCAGTCGTTCATTTATAGATGCCATTGCCACTTTGACACGTCAGCCTATAGATTATATCTTCTCATTCACCCTTCCTTTCACTCTGATCCACCATCGAGGTTGATCTCAATCTTTTCAAAGCCGGCATCGCTACTGATTGACTCCATCGATTCCCTGTAACCACCGCAACACCCTTAAATGTATACCACGCGTGGAGTATTCTCTGGGAGCGCTCAGACGGCCCTCGGTCGCCTTCGCTATCACAGTTAATCTCGATGCTTTCCCCAACGAACATTCACCATCAACAGCTCTCCCAAGCCATATTTTCAGACGTTTTGGTCAATTTCGGAAAAAATATCTTTTTGACGTTTGACCTTTGTCCTGCGACAGACACACACACAAACGAATTTCCGTTTTTTGACCACTTTTTTCCGACACATGACCCTCCTTTCAGTCGAGGGAAAAACTTTAAACTTTAAGCACTTTATAAAGTAAAGTTAAAGTTAAAGTGCCACCCCTACTCCGATCCAGCATGTCATCTACGAGATGACATACGGAACAAAAAAATACATCGAAATATATACGTTGGGATGCATAGGGTTAATTATCAGGGTGGTCAGATCATCTGAAAGGCAGCGAAAGTTTCTTATTTTTTATAGAATTTCTTTGCTGGATTATTACGTTTATGAGTTGATTCCGTCTTTTGTCCGGTTTTTGAGTTTTGTGAAAACATTTGACTTCAAAAGTATTTTCTATTTCTTAACGATATAGTTGAACCTAATGTCTTCTGTTGCATTGCAATGAGTAATCCGGCAAAAAAAATCATATATGAATGAGCAATATTTCAATGAACCATTGGATGCTAACATATGGAAATAAACTGCACGAAGTTAAGAAAATCATTTTTTCTGATTTTGAAAAGCGAAAATTCTGATTTTAAAAGAAAACTTTCTGATATTCAACTTTTCCATCTGGAAACCTTGTTAATCACCCTCACCCACCCTCAAGAAGAACGTGTTCACATTGAAATAACATTTCTGGCCAATGGTTATTCGTTGGCTTTTGTCCAAGATCAACTCAAACAATTTTTAATACGATTCAATCCTTCTTCCGGTGAGCAACCAATGGATCTGAATCGAGGAACATACACTTCATTTCGTATTCAACTGTTTCGTCATTTTCGTCAACAAAAAGTCCATCTGGAAGAACGACAAGAATTAGAAAACAAACATCAATTGGTCGAATTGTATTATTTATATGATTGGGGTTCTAGACATGAATTTAATCAATACTTTTATCAACACTGGACTCGAACAATCAACAAAGATCCAAGATTTCTCAAACATGGATTAAAAATTATTCTCAATTCCAAACATTGTTTTTTATCGAATACTCTTTTGGTTCAATACAAAGCAAATTAATTCTTTTTTTCTACTTATTTTGTGCATGGTATCTTAGGATAAAAACACATTTATTCACTAAATAACAAGTATGAATATAACTTTTTTTGTTCTTTTCTCTATTCTAGATCGAAGTCTGAATAGAAAACTTCTTTAACGACGATATAGCGAGACAAATCATATACTTGTTCGTCGATATTTCTTCTACAATTGGATGTTATGAACTTACAAAAAAACATACAAGAAAATCAAGATTCATCATAATTATCAAACACAGAATCAAATGTCAATGGAATTATCAAATGAAGGAAATCTATCCGATACAGAAGATATGATTCGAAATATACCTCAACTACCACGTTTATTGACGATAAAACCTTATGTCGTATATTTTATTCATCGAAACGCATCACCATCCATGTTACATGAAATAATTACAGAAGCGAAACAAACAGAAAGATTTACATTTGTACCCAAATATAAATCAATTGAACATGATACAATGTCCATGCATATTGAACTTATTCAACAAACTGTAACAATTCTCGTTTCAATTGATTATTCACATGAGAAAGACAAAAGAACACTACTTTATGATACACTTTGCCAGTTTTTCTCCATTATCTTTCATTCATCCAATCTAGTTCAGACATGGGGCGGTAATCTGATTCATAAATTAAAACCATTTCTATCACATGAACTGTTTACAATCAATCAGATAAACCAATGTCGATCAAGTGACATTCAACAAGAATTCAAAAGATGGTATAATCAAACATTTATCCATCAAATATGTTGTCACCATTATCTTCAATATGATGATATTGATGGACCATTTTGTTCATGTACTTATCGACCGTACAAATCTGTTTCA